AGCCGGTTGCAATGTAACTTGCCCACCCCTTTCCCTTTTTATACCCTTTCCCTTTTCCTCTCCCAAAATTAGGGTCGATCGGCCCTCGTCTGCCCGCGATCACGATTGCTGAAAAGTTACCGAAACGTCGGGAGTATGTAGTTTTTTACAAAAATAACCGCGTAATATATATTCGAAAAATATTACATAGTTTCATTTAAATTAATAAAACTAGCGAATGTCTTTGATCTCACTAATTCTATTTGTTAATAGAGATCTTAAAAAGATACCGGCATGATGTTAAATTATCTAATTAATCTAAATCGACCTCAATCAATGTTGTATTAACGTTATACAAAATCAAGTTTTATAAAAACTAGCTGACGAATTGTTTTATCTTATAAAAACTTACTAAAAGAAATCGACAGAAACATTTGTCTAAAAAAAATTTATATTACAAACAATTGATTACCTGCTAGAGAAGACTTCATAATTACATTTATGCAGAAATGTTCGGATCAAAACTAAATATTATCCATCGGGCAACGCCATCTATTGTCTATTAGGTCTCTATTAAGATATATTCAGTATTTTGGTAACAGTGACAAATTTCGGTTTCACATCTAAACATCGGTGGAACCATGGAGCTAATAAATACCTAGTAATAAAAGGATGCATATTCGTGATTAATTATACAAAGAAAATTAGTCAAAATCGATAACATAGTGACCGTTTATAAGTCTGAAATAGATTTCAGCAAGAACTATTAAGATAGTAACACATTTTTTTGTTAAACACCTGCAAATCCATTTTAATTTCATAATATATTTGAAATAATAAAATAAAAGACATGTATTATATTGAGGTGTAAGTTTATTCGCATAACAATGTTTCATACAAATTTCCTCGTTTTTGTACACACCTTTTCACTTTTGTTTTTGTTTTATAAAAGTTGGACTCTAAAATTTTTAACATATCGTCATGTCTCTTCCCTATATCTAATTCGCTTCACCACTGTTAAATCATAAATAAAGAGTAAGGCAAAATATAAGAAGGGGTACTGTATGGAACTTGAATATAAACCAAGTGTAAAATGTATGTATTCAAAACAGCGTTCCTGTATTTCGCCGTGGCACTTAAGCGATGGGTAGCTGTGATGGCGTGTACCGAGTACTTCACAAACTCAAACTGCTGTATTTGGCTTTAATATAACATTAATAACATATAGGGATGTGGTAAGTATAAAAATTTGTTGTTATATCATTCATGTAAGTTTGTTTGTCTAGCAGTAACTCGTCTGTGTGTACTCGATTTAAACTCGCCTCTATTTCTTAACGGACATTGCACAAGTCACACTGGTATCAACCGACCGGCCACGAGGCTGCCAGTCACCTAACAAAATTCGTCACTAAATAACAACTAAAATCACTTTAAAATCAATTCAAAATGTACATTATTCATCTTATACGAGTAAACAAATCTAATCTGCTACAAAAAATTAGCAAATTTAAATACAAATGTCACCTATTCCGTCTATGTATAAAATTAATCACTTAAGTATTAGAAAAACAAAAAAATAGTGAGAGCGGACTTCGGTCCGCTTGTGATTATTTATTATGCTTCACGGTGTACATTCAACGAATGAATAGCGAACGATATTGCGTTGACAAATTAAAACTATAATATTACTGTACAATTAATATTTTATATGTAAATATTTGTACATATTGCACTCTGAAGTAACAAAAAAAATTATTAAGAAAAAAAAATCCGTCAAAACTAAGAATAATTATAGACGCCAGAACAAAATCTATCTTAGTAAATACAAATTCAATGTAATCGGTTTAATCACAATGTTCGCAGCTCGTATAGTAATAATCTAAGTCCCTATGGCTTACAAAGCTTAGAAAAGATAAATACAGAGGTCATTTACAAATAATATACTTCTACCCAAATAATATAAAAATAACAACAGCCATCTGTACTTTCTTAGATGAATAAAATTAAACATATGTCAAACATATGACAATAAAATCTAAAGGTATTTATGTACAATGTATATAGAATGGACACGGTATATTGGTATGGACGTTCCGCGCTCGGTGACTGCGGGGTGCGGGGTAGTAGGGGAAGGGTGCGGGGGGGAGGGTGTCGAGAGATAACAAAACGATATTAATGTTCGGTTAAAAGTATTTTTCCGGTTGTAAGTTGTAACAGTCGAAGCTTCTCAGCGCCGATGCGCACGCGCAGTCTCGTCCCAATTGTCCCTTCACATATTATCATCCAGCGATATAAACTTATCATCTTACTAATATTCCATTATCAGCTAAAGACACAAATTATATTAGGGTACTCATTACTTATTAGTTCTCGTGTGAGATTATTACGTACTTAATAAATCTATTACAATTTTGAAATCGATTAATATGTATCAATTCGACAGGCTGTGCACCGACGGAGGCCGTTAACTACGAAGCCATCAAATGATTACTTACGCTTCAAATGATATTTAACAATTTACTTATCGAATGGCAGTTATAATTGTCACAAACTCGAGATGCAAAGCATACGGGCTGTAAAGCTTGGCGTTTACTGCCGCATCTCAGTCATAAGGCATCGTATCATAGCGTAAAAATACGTGACGGTTACTCAGACTAACACTCTAAGACTCTTAAAGGTGTCATAAAAACAATATCACCTCAAACATACGCTAAGTGAATATACGTTATAATGGCAGTGTGTGTTGTCAATACGCCCCTCACTGTACGTAAGACACTCCAGTGACGTTTGTGCTTCGTAAACTATTTTAGAAAACGCCTACAGCTACAAAAAATTATATATAAGTAGTAAAGATGTAACAAAAGCGGACTAGCGTTCGGTCCGCGGTGCAAGCTCTCCGTCTCGTACTGTACGCGTAACGCGATCCATACGTATATTAAGAAATGCTTCATATAACATGAGACATACAAAGTTATTATATGTAAATTTACAACACACTTAGTGGCATGTAAAGAAGACACATTCAACACGCACCAGACATACTTAGATTTAAATATTATTAAACATGTGACAACGTGATCGGCTGTGAGATGCGATGAGCTAAGGGCACGGCCACACGGGCGACGAAGACGTACGACTAACATCGAAAGGCTTCTAGACGGACACTGTACAACTACGACGTGGGGAAGTTCGCGGGTTATTTATAGAAATGCCCAAACGATAAACACTTAAACAACGCTTCAACAACGCTTACGGATAATTGAGATCGATAATTTAGTCACTATATACTATGATATCCATTCAACAATGTAGGTACATGGTACAGGTAACGCGAAATAAGGCATTTTGTATGTGTCGTATATTGTATAGGGCAGTATCACCACGACGGGAGCGATTCTTTTATTTCAACTGACTCACTTATATTATTTAGATGGAGACAGATTTGGTTTGTTAGACACGACATTGCCCGAACGTTTCTACCATTTACATTTAGTCTATACCAATATTGTTCCCATATAGTAAGCTCGGCCAAACAGTTCTAGAGAAAAACATACGATAGTTCAGCTGCCGTTTGAATTTTGATCAGTTCACAGTTGAAGGAGATAATTATAATAAATAAATAGATTTATAAATAAAATAAAGATATTTACAAGGATACATTAAATAATAATTATGGGGACTATACCTCTAACCTCGTACCTATACAACAGCTGCCATGCATTCGCGTAATGTCGTGTACATAAGTAGAATATTCATATTATACAGCGTGTTCATTTTGTACAAATCCAGACCGAGTACTGGGAAAGCCAGATCTGCCTCCTTAAACCCTAATTAAAACAAAGTGACACGAATTATTTTCATTATGGATCTAAATTTTATTGCCTACGACGACTTATGGTAAATTGCACATGGTACACATCCGCCTTTAGTAACTCAACCTGTATATAGCGATTCTGTGAGAGCCATCCTACCCGTGGCAACCCGTGGCAACCCGAGGCACGAGCTACATCAATAGCCTAAAGTAACATAGACTCAGTGCAGTGTGATCACTGTAGAAAATGAATCACCCCATATATACTTATGTCGTTAACTATCAAAATAGTCGAACAGGTAGACAAGAACGGTGATGCTTTTATGAAAGCTACTGCGACAGTAGAGTTCTCTAAATGTAATAAGACACACTTATCTCAGCCTACCTAAGATATTTCAACATGTATAAATGTAATCACAGCAATAATAAATTATAATTATTCGTTAATTGAGGGCACAGGACAATGGAACATGAATCTGAACTAAAATCGACAGGGCACGATAAAACGTCTGATATAAACTATATATAAACAAACACAGTCGTAAATAATTAACAACGTCCGACGAGATATAGGCCCCAGACTTGCGACTAACTTTACAATATACATATATCAATCGAAAAGGTCTATCAACGCACCGTTCATTTTGGTAAATAATAACTATCAACTTTTCACCCAATAGAAACATCTCTTCATATATTACTTTTCTCTTTATAACTCTCATATCGTACGTATGTAATTTAGGAGGGTGTACTTATCGAAAGTCTTATCATACAGTCGTATCCGAGCGACCAACTCAGTATCCAGTCGTATCTAAACTATAACACTAAATATATTCTCCGAACGTTCAACAGCACATATATTCACTATACTCGCACAGTCCGACAGCGCGCGTGTCCGTACCGGGTACCGGGTACGACCGGCCACCAACCGGCCGCTGACCGGATACCGACCGGGTACCGGGTACCTAGTACACAGTCCTTATATATAGTTTGATCACGTCCTTCCGTCCACTTCACTTAAACTAGCCAGTCTATGAGCGTTTCTCTCCGGAGGTCCCTTGCCCGCTCCACGATCACCGCTAGGCTCGTCACACACACACACACACGCACGATCGTGAGCGTGGTGCGTGTGTGTGTGTGTGAGCTAGAGTCCGTGTGGTCGCGGGCGGGTGGCGGGGCGGGGGCGGTGGCGGGGCGCGGCGCGCGGGGGCTAGAGGTCGACGGGGTTGTCGACGATGGGCGGCGGCTGCGCTGTGGACACGTCCGCCACGTCCCAGATCTCCTCGAGGAATGGCGGCAGCTTCCTGTTCTTCAGCTTCAGCGAGATGCACATGTTCGAGTTCTGCATGCCGAGTGTCCGGAGCTCGGACAGGATGGACAGGATCTTGCCATACACGACCGGACAGCGCGAGGAGGCGCTCAGCTGGTTCAGGATGTACACCCTCAGTGTGTTGAGGTAGTAACGCTGGATCTCCTCCACCAGTTGAGGCTGCTCCAAACCCGGTCGGTCTGGAAATGTTACAAAGGCGATTGTTATTGCGGTTTGTTATCTATGGCAGTTGTATTGCGCTCACGTGAAAGACAAAATAACTTATATACACATAAAACAGTCAAATTGCTTGTAATATAATGTTCACTGTCAATTTCAGAACTTTTTTTGTGTGATTAACTCCGTCAACTTACTAGTATTGGTGCCAATCTCACCTGAGAATATAACAATGGCAGTAAGCAACGCGTAGTGTACGTTGTCCATAGACATGGCGTACATACAGCGACAGAAATGCAGCAGGTCTTCTATGACATAAGCCATGCCGGCTTTGCGATAATTGTCGCGGGTGTACGCCTGGTTGTTCGCGAACAGTACACTGTCAGTCGCGGCGTCATACCGTCGTGCTACCCGCAACATCATCACCTCGCTTGAACAAGCCTGGAAGGAGACAGAGCATATTGAGGATTAACTTTTTAAGGCTGTTTCTTAAAATAATTGCTGTTGAATTTCAAGCAGAGGTAATATAAAAAAGTATCGCACATAACTCGTGTAACCTCATTAGGGCTATATTGTATCGACCATTTTGATTGGTAATTTCAGCAATTCTAGTAATTTCTTACTATTTAATTGGCTTATAAATTTGGGACTTTTTTATTTTATAAGATTCTATTATTTTGTTATTTACCTTTAATAGTGTGATTTGATCCGGTTGTGATATCTTGGCGAACCCAGGCAGCCCCTTAGCGAACTCGACGATGAGTTGAACCGTCAAGATCGTCATTTCTGTGATCTGACGGAATGGCATATCGGAATCTTCGTCATCTTGATCCGTTTGCTGCCAAGTCTAGAACCATTCGACAAATAATAGATAGGTTATCACAAAAATTGCAAGGCAATTTTGGATAACGACATACGATTTAGACTTTTTTTTTAAGTATAACTCTAAAGAAAATACTCTCGAAAGAGTTTAGTAATAGAATGGGAATACCTGGGTCACCCTTTTGAGGTCTTCTTCCGACGGCTGCTCATAGCCGTCCTGGTACCAGACGAGCCTCGCAATCAAGAACTGTTGATTACGGGTCAGTGGGGGGATGTTCTTCAGTCGGTTCTGCTCCAACAGCTTCTCTGAGAGGAACCGCGGCACCACTTCGTGCTGCAAACATTCCAGCTTCACGTAGGAAACGACAAACATTAATACATCGTCGTCGGTTAGGGATATCGTTTGCATGCAATAACTCAAAGAATATATGGTTCAACTAGGAGCAAACTATTTCCGCTAACGTGACCAAATATCTAATTGTTTTATACTTACAATCCTCGCGGCTTCAGGTGGTGGTGGATCACATTGCATTATGGGCGGCATGTGATCGTCTACTGTCGTTGTGCTGACTGGCAGTTTGTCCTTCTCCCTCTGCGCCTTCTTCTCTTTCCTCTTGATCGCACATTGATTCTCTGGCACCACACACTCCGGCCTCATGCCCACCGCTAGACATTTCTTTAATCTGCACTCTTGACATTTTCTCCTCATATACATATCCATTTCGCACGCGTGACCAAATTTGCAAATGTATACTGCGTTTTTGGTAACACTCCGCCTAAAGAAACCTGGAAATAAATTCATTGCTGGCTTAATTATTGTTTCAGTTTTAGTCAATATACTTAATATATAATATTTTCGATATATGATTTGACGATTGATTTCATTGTATGATAAAAGATGAATAATCAAAGTTCAGACATGAAGCAGACAACTATTGTAACGTTTCATCGAATTCATACGAATGGTATTAGACACAATACGTCAATTCAGATTGAATAGGAACATTCGTCAGCATTATTATTTTAAAGTCAATATTACATGCAGTTATTGATCTAATACTACTAATATTATAATTGCGAAAATTTGTGAGTGAGTGTGTATATCTGTTATTTCTTCACGCTCAAACGGCTGAACCGATTTTGATAAAATTTTGTATACAGGAAGCTGACGTCCAGGAATACTAGGCTACTTTACATCCCGGAAATCACTGAAATCCCGGAAATCCGCGAGTAACACCGCGGGGCGCAGCTAATATAACTATATAACAATAATTTACCTTTACAGCCTTCACAGGTAAGTGCATTGTAATGGTAACCAGAGGCTCTGTCGCCACACACGAGACAAAGCTCCTCTTGTTGGCGAGGCACAGGACCTTTCTTCTGCCGCCTTGCTTCTCCATCTGTGCTGCAGCCGTTCACACTAGACGCCGGTGATAACTCCTCGCGTCCTGAAAAGGAGAATAAAACTTTGAATTATAACTGTTTATTTATACTCATATAAACCTTAGAGTTTCTTTCGCTGTATTTTTGTGCCCCTACATGTATTTAGTAATATGCAGTGGATGTCAAGAGCGTCTAAAATTGGAGACTATAAATTTTGCATACACTTTGCGCTCATTTCATCGAGCCGGCGGACGAGTGAAGATCATTACTTTTCATTTTTATATTCGAGGTGACGTTTCTTCTTCGAGATGTTGACGGAATAAATACGTACAAGTAATTTTCGGCATCATTTTGGTCGTTTCCTGTCCAAACAAAAGGTGGCTAGTGTCCCCGTCCGCATACTAATGAGTTCTGGCACATCATTTTGGTATTCAATGTACATTTATGTATGTGATGCGCAATGGAAATTTAATCAACGACTGTTAATCACTCAGACGAAACTCAATAAAATAAAGTAAGTTACTGAACATTAAATGTTATTTAACAGCAATCAAGTCCGGAATTGTAACAGAATCGCTATAATTTTAACACGTAAAAGCAATAATAAAAGTAAATAAATGGCAAAAATTATTTATAATATTTGATGAAGGTCGGTGGCCTTTATGTACTCGTGTTGTATAACCAGATGAAACAACGATGCCAAAAATACAAGTTCCACGTGGGATTTGAGCCAGTCAAAGGCGAGCTTAGATCATAACATCTATTAATGTCAATTCTATTAGCCGATTTATTTATACTTATTACCTTGCAGACACTAGAACCAAACACTAACATTGAATTGTTAGAACTACAATTTTTTTTTAAAGCCATATTGTTATAATACATTAAGGGGCCTCAAAGGTGCAAAAGGTAGAATTAGATAATATTTAGTGGGTTATAATGACGCAACGTCTCATCGGACGCGGTGAAAGTGTCCGAGATGGTGGAAACTGGTTGGTTCTATTCAACGGTCAAGTTATGTTTTAATATGGCTCTAGTAATAGCGTTTGACATTTACATTAGTAATACGCATAATAGAAACAACAAAATGTCAAAATGCAATCAAAAACTTGTTGTAAAATATTATTTTATATGCGTATGTAGTTATCGATAATGTTGTTTCCAAATCCAATCACAGCCGTTTAACAAATCAACAAAACCGAGACTAGTAGGAAAGAAAATTAATTCAGCATTAAATAAACAAGTAACAGATTAAAAATCAAGTAGCAGTTCAATCAATCAAATATTCAAAGTCACATCGTAATTGTAATAAATAATCAGCTATCAAATGGGTGTTCATGAAAAAGAAAGCCAATCAGAGGTTGAATGCACGGATGACCGAGTCAGTGTGTTATGTTGTTACGTCCCAGCTGTTCTGCGCGGGCGCATAGAAGGTCTAGTTCGTCTCGACTCGGCCATCATCGGGTCGACTCGCTGTTAGGAGCGAGAGGACACTATGAGCGACAAGTGGGGCGCGAGCGACGACCGGGGGCAGCGTGCGGCCTTGACTCTTACGTATCCCCCCTTCCACCGCAGCACACCAGTCCCCCCCTTCCCCCTACAACGCTCACCGCCACATTATTTATGATAGCATCTGAGTTCGAAGCAAGCTCGCGATTCCCTACTACCTAATAATAACAAGTTTTTCCTCTCACGCGATTGTACTTAACTGACTTCTTAAGGTGTTCTCTGAAGTAATACCTATGTTGGCGTGTAGCTACAAATAGAGCGAACCAAAACGATAGTTGCTTTGTTAACCGCGTCTATGTTGTGTTGATGCCTAGGATTTTATAATATTCTAACTCAATATTTTCTCTAATAATTTAAATTGCTGTCCCATAATTAACTAGAATGCAAAAAAATAAATTTACATGTCAATAAAAATATTCGATAACTTTATAAGATAACTTTTAGAGATAGTTTTATATAAAAACATTCTTAAGGACTAGTTTGCAAACATAAACAAGTTGATTTGTCTACGAATGTGTAATAATACGAGGATTTAGACATTATTTATAGTTTATTATAATAAATTTATAAGCTGTGCTTAACACACAGTGGAAAAACCAATCAATTCTGAATTCTAGAAGAAACTATTGACTTATAAAAATATATACGTTATAGATACGTTACAATTATGCTAACTATTTAAACTAAAATATAAGCAAAATTGTTAATATGTGCTAGGATTGAAAAATTCATAAGAACGATTAAATAATAATTTTGTTTCGAGATTTTTATATAACATTACATTGTTTACTTATTTATTGAACAGTACAATGATAAGACGAGAAACAGTATAAATCTTAAAATATAAGTTACAAAAACAGTGAGAAATATTTGTTTTATATATTATTATTTATTTTATAAATTGTATTAGAAAAATAAGTTAAACTAACGGCTTATTTGGGTTTAAAATATAGTCATGAAATATTGACTAATATTTCTTTGAGTTGTTCTTCTCCCACGGAAATGAATTAATTTGTCATTATGTGGACGCGTGGGAAAATTACCGCTGCTAGTAAAAACGGTACATAAGTCCATACTATTATTATATAAAATCAATTTAGCATAAAAAATATAAATCTAGACAGAACTTAATGGTTGCCTTTCGACGAAGCATAACATGCTTTCTCATATTCCTTTATACCTACAATATAAGGAGTAATATTATTCCTCGTGATGATTCTCATACATTTTCGGGATATCAATAGTTGTTTATTATGTTAATATTTTTTGCAACTATGACTTAGAAAGCGATGTCGATTTAACAATACGAACTTTCACTCTGACCTCAGGTACAGGCGACGCAATAATTTCGCAGGCACAACGCGTAAGTGACTGCTACTAGTAAGTGAAAGTTACCCAAAGTTAGGTATTGCACAAGCTATGGCACACCTCGTTAAAATTCGGGCGCGGCGAAAGTAAACCTATATAGTTACAATATATTAACTGATGTTTCTCAAACAAATGGTGCGTATAAAACGATGAGAAGAATCAGTTGAACAAAAAAGGAATTACGCATAAAAAGTTACAGGTGATCTGTGCATCGCTTGGGCGGATCTCGGACCAAGTTATTACTTTCTACAATACTTTCTAGCAAGAGATGTGGGCCGGAGCCGGCTCAACTAGAGCGATCGGTTTCTCCAAGCGCCGGGAAAATTGGATTGAAATAGAAATCGCGTGCGGTGAAAATCAACATTTTCACGTCACACGCTACCGTGGAAACATAGACATATATTACTTACAATTTGTCACGTGCCCCCGTTCAGTGAATCACTACGTTTAAAATAATTCCAGAACCGATTGCAAGGACGTTTAAAAATAACAATTTTAACATTCCATCTATTGCTATACAATGCTTTCGAACTTAAATACAACACTCTGTTTATATGTTGTCCTGTAAAAGCTTTTAGACAGTAAATAAATAAAAATGCCTAGTAAAAGACGATAAAGTGCGTACGATGACAATATTGTTCCTAAACATTTCGTCACTCAAATCGTAAAGTAGAAAGTGGTCATCACTTATAACATACACCTAAGTACATATGACGGTAATGGATATGCCATAACTCCCCAATATCACACTGTACACAGAGCAATGGTATTCCGAGTGCCAGATTACTTCGAGCCTCTCTTTTTATCAAGCGCTAAACGGTTGGTCACGTCTTTTGTCTCTCTCTATTCCCTAATTTAGTACAGCAGCCCCCACCCACGCCAGTACGCCTTTTCGAGTAAACATGGGAACGAGTAAATAGTCAAAGAAGGGGGGTATAATTAGAATTAACGCAGTCGAGTTTCCTGGTGTTTAAAACCTCCGACAGCTGAATGGATAGACGAACAAAAAAGTTAGCCGAAGATGTGAAATGGTTGTTTTTTGGTTTGAATAAAATAATGTAATACATGTGTTAACACATTCTGTTAGAAATAAACATTATCTGTCTGTCCTTGTTTCGTGAAACCCGACCTCGTTAATTTAATACTATAGCGTTGCAGCCGTTGACACCGCAGCAACTATCAGGACGCCCTTGACACCTTGATGCACTATGAACTTATACTCTGACAGTACCGTTTACTGGTATACGTTTACTCACAACAGAAGTATTTACTTACTAATCAGTTCTATGAATTATTAGACTACAGCTCTAAAGTAGGTCAAGGCATATTTAGTTGACGTAAACGTGATATCGAACGAGCGGTCGGCATAAGGGCTAATTAAGACTAACTTGCCACCAACTGGGTCAACGACTCTTTGTTATTCAACTGATAAAGAATTTTATCGTAAACGAAGACACTAGGTCGATTTTGATGTGCCTTTTATTATCATGTACTTTGACATATCATTAAAATAGAATTTAGTTTATGTTGGTTTCAAAATTAATTTGACTTTATGACAAACAATTGTTTGAGGAAAATATCAGGTTCGGTAATCTACATATAAACATTACGTTTTATAGGTCATGAACGTGTCAGAAGCTAAAAGGTCTAGATCAATACAGGAAAACTTACTGTTTGAAACAATACATGCATAAATTTACCTTAGTCTTTGTGTCAAATAATAAAGGAAATAAAGTGGAGCAAATTAAAAATATTATTAAGCAGTCTAAATATATCTCAGCTCGTGACAAATCGGGGGCACTAAATTAGAACGCGCTTATGCAATTCGGAGTATGACAATCAATAAATCTTAGTAAGAAAATTATGTTTTGTAGTTTATTGTGTCAAGCCATCCGGGAACGTTACGGGGTCAGTGACCGAATATCAGTGAGATAAGCTGAATACGAAACGGTTATCGGCCGACAAAGAACGCCTTTGTTTTCGACGAATTCAACACATAATATGAACACTGATTAGTTTATTATGAACTTGATTTTATTAATTGCTTTCGTTGCATTTCGAGTTTATTTTTGAAGACATTTTAATTTCGGTATTATCTACTACGCTAATTATTTTGTGTATAGACTAATGACCGATAAAACACCTGAAAATTCTCTGCCAGTAAGTTATCAATATATTAGAGTTTCGATGTAACTTCTGATATAGTTGGATAAAAAACATTTTATTAAGAACATATAAAAAGTATAGTTCTTATATAAGTCATTACCAAGCTACCTCACTTCGTGACTAACACGAAAAAACATCAAGCTTTAATAATAATAAAAAAAAATCCAAGAGGCCCCGTTAAGGATTTGCACTTAATTCATCATATAAAATACTAGGAATTAAATCAGATTTCTCTATGATCTTACACCTCTAATACTGATGATTGGTAGGTGACAAATTGTTATGAATAATGTGGAACAGAAATAATCGTTGGTAGTGGAACTGGTGAAGTGTGTCATGGGCTCAGCCCACGCTCCGAGGAAGGTCGCCCGCCCTCCGTTTACTCAATAACGACTGAATCTCGATAAACACGAATTATATCTTAACTTTAGTTAAGAAATTTTATCAGTCTTTCCCTCTTTTCAACATTCTATAATGAATCCTAACTGAATGACTGGCTATTTTTGCCAAAGATTATATTACTCAACGGATTTTTGTGTAATGGAACAAAAAACCGATGTACGCATTAGTCTTGAAATATGAGTAACGGGAGCCCTTTAAGAGGCCCACATTAAATTCCCTTGAAGGGTTGCGGTAGGCAACAATAACGAACATTGTCAGATGATTGATAAAGCTCTGATGACGCTGCAGAGAATATATAACTCACCCCTACACCCACCCACCCAACTTTCTATTCACAGCATTTATTCTTATATTAACTACAAATTTAACATCATTTCCTAGTCTTGATTATAGTTTACACAACCTTTATATATTCAAGTTGCAATCTGTTCTCGGAATGTTAAAAGTTACATAATTGAAGCTTGTAGGTAAACACTTTGCGTTCTGAATTCACAAAATTAAATTCGCTACATATTCACATGACGTTTCGAAACAGCTCATTATAGTTCAAATTCAAGTTATTTATTTACAACTAGAAGACCTGGCGAACTTCGTATCACCCTATAATCAAGAAATATCTATTACGTTTTTTTATAAATATTTCTGAGTTTACCTGTAAGCCATAAATCTCCGTGTTTTGAAGTGCGACAGAATGATGACATATTAGTTAGTTGTCAAATCTAATGTCAAAAAAAACGTTTGTATGGGAAATAGAAAAGGGCTGTTTTTATGGTTTTCCCAGTAATTAATAAAATTTTTTAAGCTTTTATACCTTCCTTGAACCTCCACGAACATTTCAAGACTAAGATAAGATAAACCCGTTCAGCTGTTCTCGAGTTTTAGCGAGACTAAGGAACAGCAATCCATTTTTATATATATAGAAGATTATCTAATGTATTTTTTGTGTAACATAAATAAAAGTTTATATAATTTATCTTGGGACCTAAAACAAATACATTGTTAACACATTTGCAATCGTTCCGAAGCAGTGATCGCGGTCTTAGTTAGCGAGAGCAAGAGCATTCCTCCGCCCGGCTGACCGGTTTCCTGGCGCAGGCTGTTTATGGCCGGACCAGATATAAATAGATACTCTGTAACATCCATCTTCTTTATACTCGAGTTTTAACTCCAAGTTTTGTAATAATTGAATAAAATTCTTTTGAATATACACTAAAACTTTCAAACGA